TGTTTTTCTACATGTTACTTTGATAGTATTCAATATGAAAATTACTAATAAATAAGTAGGTAGCCTAGATTTCAAATGCGAAGAATCGCTCGGCTTAAATTTTGAGATATAAAAAAGTTATTGTGTAATCCTAGATATGTTATTGTCCCGAAGCAGTGGTAGGGTTAATATTGGGACGTGTAAAAGCGCTTTTTTAAAGCTTATTTGCAAAAATAAATGCATTTTATGAATTTGAATTTTTTAATTTTATGGAAATTACTAAAGGACAATGACCAAAAATGTATGGAGTGTGGTCCAAATGTCCACCACTAATGAGACCTATGTAGTAAAATAGTCTACTAAATACTGATTCATTATAACCAAACCGCAATCAAAAATATGCTGTCAGTAAAAAGTTACGACTGAATGAAAAGTCATGTTTTTTACCTTTTCATCCGAAAAATGTTCTTGATATCATTCTATCCATCGCACATTTTGGATTAATCTATGCCTGTTATGTCATGTCGCTTAGTGTGCCGTGTTAGATTCTCGTTAAAAGAAAAAAAATAAGCTCAGAAGAAAGACAACAATATTTCAATTACGGTCGGGTGGTCGCTGCTCCGCCCCTATTGGTGTAGGGTGATGTTATATAACCTAAAACCATCCTTGATAAATGGGCTATCCATAACAAAAATATTTTTCAAAACGGACCAGTAGTTCCTGAGATTAGCGCGTAAACTACTACAATTTTTCATACAGTCATAACTTTTTACTGACAGCTTATTTTTTTTTCGTCCCATACTGAAAGTTAATCTCTATTTAATGGACTATAAGCCAATATAGGTCTCATTAGTGGTGGACATTTGGACCATTTTTGGTCATTGTCCTTTGGACTACACAATCTACTAATACTTATAAAAGTCCGAAACCTAACAGAAACTAAGTTAAGTCTTAACGGGCACCATTTTAGCACCAAGGATTTTTGTTTTTTTTTTTAGTTTATCTGTTTAAAATAATGTAAATCATCCAACCAACCAATTCGTTGGCAGAAGCTAATATAGTTACCCGACTGCGAAGTCCAGGTAAACGAACCAACCAAGTAGAAAAATTACGAGAACGCTTGCAATTTTAACTAGAACCTCTCATTAGTTAAATAACTGAATAAGTTCTTATTAAGAGAACAATAACATGGAAGGCCTTAACAAAAATATTATGAGAAGTCATTCACTTAGCCGCCACTTAAGTAAACTTTAATTGTGATTTAATGGCGCCGTAAAAATGAGGAAAACACAAACATCAAATATTGTTCTTATAAGATCCAATGGTAAATTATTTTCGGCTTTGAATATAACTAAAAATAGTCTTTCAAAGATTTTTAATTAAAGGGGCTACTTTTCCTGAATGCAATGTTTGATAAGAAAACCTAATTTGTATTCGTTCGTTACAGCCAAATGACGTCCTCTGCTGGACACAGACCACCGCTATTACGATACCTTATATGTATCATACGTTTTTTTTCAGCTTTTGGTGGATAGGCGAGATCTTTAAGAGCGTTTACGCCGTTTGGCGCAAAAACAGTACTTTTTCAACTCGTTACAATCATTAACCAGTAATACTACAAATATGTTATAGGCATAAATAGTTAGGCAATTTCGTCGTCTAAATAGTTAATTGAGAAAATATTGCGATTAGTTTAGTATTCAAGAGTTCTATCAAGATAAGTCCACACAGGTTTTGTAAATTTCCACTTTAGCGNGGTAAAATTTTTAAGCTTTCACAGTAAGTACAAGCAAGCGATAAAGACTCTCCGTGACAAACCGATACTGACATGGAAACCACGGTATTCTATTATTTTCTTAACCCAAGTGTAAGTAAATAAACCTGACATGTGACCTTTGTGATTACACGGCTTGCAAGCCCGTGGCCAATGCACACCACATTAGTGACTTTGTCTCTGCTCACTGGCGTCCTTCACGGGATTATGTAACAACGAGCGCATAATAACTGTATCTACTATGCGTTTAGTTCGGCTCCTTGTGCTCGAGACATGTCAATGTTTCTTTGATTGAGAGCGTTGATAATTGATAACTTCGCTTGAGCAGCGGTCACATGAATTTCTAGGAATTTCCCACTAACAAACTTATTTTAGATATATGGGATGAGAATGAGAACTATAGGCTATATGAGTTCAATTTGTATCGTAGGCATCGTTCGTACGTTCGTTTCAGCCGAAAGACGTCCACTGCTGGACAAAGGCCTTCCCCAAGGATTTCCACGAAGACCGATCCTGCGCCGCTCGCATCCAGGCACCGTACTTAGGCATATTTAGATTCTATTCCTGGCCTACTAAAATGCAAGGAATATATACGCCCTACAGCAGGGTCCCAATAACGATTTAGAAAGGTTATTATTTTTTCTGCTCAACCCAAAGGTAAACTGGTCGAGAATGCTTTAGTGCATTAAGTTCGCCTTATGTTCAAATTTATTTTGGCATAAAAGTTTAAATAAAATAAATAAATTATTGATTTACAAGACGTCAAACTGCTATTAATGTTTACATTTCGAACCTTTCGTCGCTATCAACCACAGTGTACTGTTGACATGCAAATGACAGTCAAAATATCATTGTTCGGTCGCTGCGCACAACACCGCGCATAAAAACTGTCAACACGCGCCCGCGCACGATCGTACGTGAGGAGATAACAGCTGTTTGGGCTCCACTGCGGAAAATGGCAGTTAGCACTCAAGTCACAGCTTAAAGTTCAGTGCCTCGTAATCTGAATGCAGGAACTTTGAAGCGTGCTCTATAGAGCATAACATATTGTTTAGTTAATCTGTAAGAATAACACTACACTTAGCCATTTTCAAGTTTTGGAGAGTTTTTACGTTCTGAAAGAAACTTCAGTAAGTATTCTTAAAAATAAACTATTACCTACCTACCTCCAATAAAAAGTTACACCTAGGATGAACACTGGATTAAAATAACATTTCCATACTAAATGTCAATTTTAGCCAGAGTTCAACTAGGGTGTAACTTTTATTAATAAGGGGGTTACAGGCACAACCTTACTTTAACATCAAAAATCTGGCAAACTCCATACAAAAAGCACTGGTTATTGTTATTTTAACCGTAACATGAAGATGGTGCAACTCAGCCATAAACTCTTCCCCGAATAAAATAATCCTAACAGCTCTTTAAAAACTTGCCCTCAAACGAAAAATGTTACCTACCTTAATGTGAGCAGCGTATTTCTTTGACTCTGGGAAGAGTATAAAAGTGGTGGCTGTCAGTGTTTATACAACGCCACTGCACTATTTCCAAAACTAAGTATCAATCGACACAAAATTTTCCATGTTTGATTTATAAACATCTAACAATAACCATAGCATTTCCACGAGTGTCATTTTCTAATTTTATTACAGTTTCTTCATTATTTAACCAAAATTAGAAAAAATAAAAGTTAATATTTTTTATCCCTGGATGTATGACTAAACGCTTTTGCCTTATTCTAAACAAAAACAAAATTGCCAATATGCCAAGGCCGGAAAATTGTAAAAAAAAACCTTTTACAAAATGGCGGGAAGGAAGGCGAGCGCGTCTGTGACTGTGCAGTGGGAAATATTAATTTTAAAAATCAAGAAACAATAAAGTGAGTGTGTTAGGCTGGGAAATAAGTAGAACAGAATGAAATTAATTCAAGTCCTTGTGAATTTTATTTACAGGTAAGAAATTTACGGAAAATTTTTGTACCATAGGTCAACCCGCGTACCCGCAAAAAAATTACAATTAATTTTTGGTTTATTCACACGGAGCTTACGTTGATCCTAGACTTTTTCAGAAGTTCGGCCTCGGGATAGCGAGACGTAGATTGTAATAACCCACTTGATTGCATTGTACAAATCATTATGTACGCCGATTGTCTCTGTATTGTTTGTATTTCGCAACGAGGTACGGTAATTAAAATAATAACTATTGTAGGTACTTTGAATAACGCATTATTCTAGTTTTATGACTACCGTTTTTATAACACAACGACAATTTAGACGTTAAACTAGTTAGTTTTAGCCTAGCTAATGGTCAAGTCAAACTGCGAATCCACCTACCTACATCGAGGTGTAAAGTTCAGGCTGCACACAACTGGTTTTGATCCAAAAATAAACGAAAGGATTAAGGAAGGATACGCTCATCTGGTTTTACAATACAGCCGAGTGCCGCCTTACCCACCTAGAAATAAAATTGTTTTATACATCGTGTGTCCAGTTCCAACTCCATTTGGCGGTGTTTTAACATGCTAAAAGAACATTTAGTGGTTTTCCAATATCTGGTGGCAACCTACGCCTTATTGTAGGTATTTCTTTAATTTTAATTTGTCTTTTTAGTAGTCTACCCTCATTTTTTCTCACATATTTGGGCGTTGGTCAACCGAGTTACCGAATTCCTAGAAATTACATCGTGTGTGTCGAGTTAAAACTCCCTTTGGAGGTGTATTAACATGCATTTAGTGGTCTTCCAATACCTGGTGGCAACCTGCGCCTAAGGGCTATATTTTACCGGGACACCATGGCGGCGCAACCAGTCACCGCTTCCAACAAAATGTATACAGCTCTATAGAGAGTTACTCGCCTGGTGTCTGTTTGGTTGCGCAAAGCTGTATACATTTTGTTGGTAGCGGCGACTGGTTGCGCCGCCATGGTGTCCCGGTGAAATATAGCCCTTGTTATAGGTATTTCATCATCATCATCAACAGCCCTTTACAGTCCACTGCTGGACTATGAGCCTCCTCCACTATAGTAGAGGGTTTTGCCATAATCCCCACGCTTGGCAGGCGGGTTGGAGATCGCAGTTTAAAAGATTTATGTTTGTCAGAGAGCGCTGCTGCCCGTTCTCTGTTTGATGTGTACTTAGTCCGTAAGTCGCCTCTTACGACATACACCCGCGGGAAGAGTAGGGGTTGGTGACAAATGTTTGTATTATGACAATATAGGTATTTATTAGATTTTAATGAGTGTTTTTGTTGCAGCGGCTCGGGCGCGCGCCGCGATCCGCGTGATGGCGGCGGGCCGGCAACTTAGGCTGCTCCTGTGGAAGGACTACCTCATCCGCAGAAGAAAGCTGGTAAGTACACATTTTTCTGTATAGTGTTACGCCCTTTTCACACGTCCCGGTTGCCGGCTAACCGGCGCCGGGTATCCGGTGGTGAAGTGTATGGGCATGGTACATAGCTTTCACATGTTCCGGCGTAATTAANTAGCTTTCACACTTCACGACCGGGTACCTGGCGCCGGTTAGCCGGCAACCGGGACGTGTGAAAAGGGCCTTGAGAGTCCCCGCAGATTACAGACTTTCAGCCGTCCGATATTTGGTCGCTTTTTCGGTACAAGTGATTCATTATCGGCCGTTAAAAAAATTGATGGGTTTCACAATAAAATAAACTATTACGATGCAAACTTTTACGATTAGGGTTCTGGGATCATAGAGTAGGTATGTAGATTTACTATTTCTAAGATTTTGTGGGGTGGGCATTGGACCATTCTGGGGTGGGCACTGGACCACTCTGAGGTGGGCCATGGCCACCCGGCCCACCCGCTATGTGTTGACCGTCTTGATGTTGTGTCGGATATACTTATGTCAGTATTTCTCTATTTTTTTTAATTAGAGGCTAGATACTAAAAAAAAGCGTGTTAATAAGTAATAACTCTCAGTTTAGTATCAGCTATCCAATCGGTTAGGTAACTAAATGAATTGTAAACTGGTGTGCAAGGAAGAGGTTTATACTTTTACTTGTATAATAGTAAGACAAATCCCGCGAAATCGCACTCGCTTAACTCTGGATTCTACTCCAGAGGTGGAATTGTGTAAAGCAATCGTAATCATTTGACAGTTCATAACGTACGATAAAGTCAGAACAAAGCGTTTGACAGAATAATCGTACGTTATGAACTATTAAATGATAACGATTGCTGTACACAATTCCACCTTTGATTCCAATAATAATGCTTTAATACTTATTTCTCTTTCAGATAACCCTGTTCGGCGTAGCGTGGGCCACGCTGGTGATGCTGTGCCTGTACGTCGTGCGCATCAACATCGACAACCAGGACTTCCCCACATGTAAGCTATTAACTTGTCTAAATACTACTACTAATTAGTTAAATAATTTCTCAGAATTGACCTTTAACAATGATAGGTTTTCCCATATTATTTACCTATTACTTCCTTGACCACTATTAAATCAGGTTTGTATAGGTTGATTGATTGTTTTTTAGTTTGTAAAAAGGTACTTACTTAAGTAGTTAAATTACTTGAGATATCGTTATGATGAAGATTGAGTATACCTAATTACTTGTAGTTAAGCAAGCTCGAAACTAGAGATATTGAAAAGCATGATTAAGTACTTTCGCATCAATCTGCAGTGCAAATACCAAATTTTCTTTTCGTGCTAAATGTTGTAAGAGGCTTCTAATCCTGGAGCCTGTCAACCCTACAACTGGCCGGCGTGGAGAATGTAATGTAGGTTTCTATGCCTCATTTACCTGTGGTAAATTGGAAAGGCTGTTATTTCTTCAGGAAAATCAACATCATCAAGTCATTTAAGTAGAGACTAACTACTTAAATGACTTAATGATGATGATTTTCCTTCTATCCTGTTCTGATTACTTTCGTTACCCCTGCCCTCTGCATTTTAAACTTAATTCGAGACTAAGTTAGCCGTTATTAGTTGCGTTTTTATTGGTGGTCAAGATGTCGTGGCTACTAAAGCCCGGTCTGTAAGCTACCTAGCTACGCTCGCACACTCACTGCGGGCGCCCGTCGCACAGTCGCGACAGCAATACATATAATTACGCGCGAGCGATAAGGATGGGTAGCTAGGGGTCATTGGACAAAATTCTACGTGCTCACAGACCAGACTATACACGTACAACAATATTCCCGTTGATGATAATGATGATGATGATGACTCTTGGCAGGCCAGTTCAGCGCGCGCGCGCTGCCGAGCGCCGGCATACTGCCGTTCGTGCAGTCATTCGTGTGCAGCGTCAACAACGAATGCGAGCCCATGGACCGCTTCCAAGAGGTGCCTACTTACGAGAATGCCAAGTGAGTTCTTTTTCATACTTCGTTCGTTTCAGCCAAATGACGTTCACTGCTGGACAAAGGCGGGAGGCCAAGGATTTCCATAACGACTGTTCCTGCGCTGCCGGCATCCAGGTTCTTTTAGCACCAGATCGTCGGTCCACCCAGGGGGGCCTGCCCACGCTCGCTACGACTTCCGGCCCGTGGTCGCAACTCGAGAAGTTTATTTACTTATTTTTATTTTATTGTTAGGAAAACAAACAGCATTTTACTATAACACACATAGAGTTACCAATTAAACTTCACATTTGCCAAGATGCTATTATGCTTGATAATAAATAATATATTTCTTGCTTCAACCACACCAACGCGTGCAGATCGCCATCGCCGGCGCGATCACGGAGCGATCAAAAGCCAATGAATGACAGTACCTCTAGTAGGAAAAACTTTCGAGTTCGTTTCGTTGCGTATTCAAAGTGTCATCGAAAAATGTTGTATGAAAAATTAAACAGCGCCCCCTATATTATAGCCGCCCTAGGGGGCGCTGTTTAATTTTTCATACAAAATTTTTCGATGACACTTTGAATACGCAACGAAACGAACTCGAAAGTTTTTCCTACTAGAGGTACAGGTCGCGTGAAACTGATTTTTGAAACTGAGGATTTACAAACCAAGAGTAAGGCACATGTTTTCTAATAAAACACTTCATTATCTCTGGAAACTAACTGCTAATTAATATTTGTTCAGATTAACGCAGCTGCAACGAAAGTTCTCTCCGCTCCTGCACAATGAAACAGTCCTGGAGGTAGCAGGCACGGTACCCGACGCGCTGCGACTGCTCGCTACCTGCGCTGACGTCCTGGACCATCCCATAATGATTGAGATCAGCAGTAAGCCCCCTTAATTCATAGTACACATAGTCATAGTAACTTCTATTGATGTAAGCCCTTGAAGACCACTCAGGGCTAAAGCTAAAAATAATCGGTAGTTACAATCATGGTAGAGCAAGTTCCATTGGAAGATGTAAAAGCCAAAGTACACGAACACGATACGTTACAGCGGCGATGCGACGCCGGAGAGGTGTCGCTGTGTCATCATCACGTAGAAATAACTGATGGGCACACGGTGGATACGGCGAAATCTTTGCGGTGCAACGCCGCAACGCATCGTATTCGTGTACTTTGGCTTTTACACCTTCCAATGGAGCTTGCTCTACCATGATTGTAACTAATGATTCATTATTTTTAGTCGCAAAAGAATTCTTAAAAAGGGTGTGACGCGCCCTTTCGCACCGAGCGCGGAGATTTTGACAACCCTACGGCTGCGCGGCCGCACGCCGCACGGACCGAGCTAATATATGAGACGGCGGCGACCGCGGGCGCCTAGCATTCGCTCGGGAGCCATTGCAACAACCAGACGTTCGCGCGCGCGTCTATTGTTCCCTCGGTTGCATTGCACAGAGTCCCTAGCGAATTGCTACCCACACTGTTCCCACTAACTTGGCTTGACTCGATACCTCGTTTACCTCCGCGGGGCCATAAAGCTTCCGTGTTGCTGTTGAAACGTTCTATCGTTGATAGCTACCTATTCTCGTCCTTACCGAGTAGTGCATGTGATACTCATCCCGAACCTGCGGTAGCAATCCTGCTGCCACCCATCCCAAACTTCATACCCCCTCGCCACGTAGGTCCGACGCCTTTCCCCTAGTGGTTTCAGCTCGCCTGACGACTTAGGCCTCATGGTTCTAGCGTATGAAATCACGTCCTACCCCCCTAGTTATAAGTATCCACTAACACTCGCTAAACCTCGCACAGGGCGCCGCCCCTCTCGCGGATACGTTAACTAGTTTCGGGACGCGAACCGGGCGCGTCGCTATTCCTCTCATTGCCATTAATTTATAATTGTAAAATACTTGCCCGTAGTAATAATAAACTTAGAGTCAGTGAAGTTAGAATAAGGAACCATTGTGGAACTAGAAATATAAAGTGTCCTTGTGTTATTGATTGTGCGTTTCCTTGGTCAATATCCCTGTAGGCATCCTGGATAGGTACACATCCCTCATCGCAGAAGGCGAACTGGGACTTAGTACTAAACAGCGGGGTGTCAGACTGAGCTAGCTAAGACGCCCCGTTGCAAGGGTTTGCATGGAGAAAGTCCTATCAATTTAAAAAAAAATCTAAAATCCCCGAAAAATACGCGGGTGAACCCGCGGGCAGATGCTAGTTACAGAACTATATCAAAGCACCATTTCATGACTAGGACGGTCTTTTAACATCCTTGGAACAACAATATTGTGTCTCTTCCTTACTTATTTATATTAGGGAATGAGGGAAACGATCAATTTTGATACACAGACAAATAAATCACAGAAAAAATAGGACAGAAATCAGCAAAGTTTTCCTTCACTCTAATTTGCTGATTCGCGAAACCAAATAGCACTTCACTTATCAAATTCGTGGAAAATCTAATTTAAAAACCTTTTCTAGAAAACGGTATCCGAGTGGAGAGCTTGTTTGCGAACCCGGCGCGCGCGCGGCGGCGCGTTGCGGCTCTTTTGGACGTGTCAGATGAGCTGGCTGCTGACGTCATGACTGCGCAGCTCAGCTTCAAGGGGGTAAGTATTTGTATAAATGGCTTCGTGGCTTCGTGCGGCTTCGAAGCTCTTGGCAGAGTGTGTGCGTGCGCGCCGCATACGTATTGGCGCGCTCACATACAAACCGCGCTCGGTGCGTTTCTATGAAGATAACCTACTCATTTGTATTTACTCTGTTCTTGGTTTTCAAGAAACACTAACAGAAAGTGATGAACTGCCCATTGTTTATAAAATAATGATTGTACGCATGAAGATCCCTGGATTTTTATATAACAAAAAAAAAATAATGAAACAAAACAATCCACTTGGCGAGCACTTTTTCAAAGAATAGTAAGCCTAACAGGTGACACCCGGATTTGAACCGGGGACCTCTCGATCTGCAGTCGAATGCTCTACCACTGACCTAATTATCCCCTTGAACGGTCTCGGCGAAATCAGTGATTCTGTGTGATTCACGTTTTTCTAAAAACTTAACATAAGACGCGCAAATATTTAAAAATAATTTCCTGGTACCTATCTTATTCGCTGAGCACTGAGAACTAAGTGCTATTTTTAAAATAAATAATAGCTTGAAGTGTGCTTATTTTAGGGCTTGGAATTTAGCGTTATTTTCTCACGTACGATATATTTCAAGTAAAATCGAGTACCTATACAACATTTTTGTTTCAGATATTCAAAGGCAATATAAACAGATGTAACGCAGACTCTATAGCGGACCTAATCAAGATGGAAGATAAGGAGAATTTACAGGTGTTTGTGAGGAAACTGTGCAGCATGACCGACAAGGACCTGCAGAGGATGGCCATGGACTTGATATTTGAAATCAACTTCGGAAAGTATCTTAGAATGGTGAGTTTGGTCTAATGTTACTCTATGGCTTTTGACCTGTTACTAAGGCCCGGTTTCCACATAAATGGTGTTACAATAACCAATCAGATTCCATTATTACCACTTCTCTTCTCCGGTCCACACAGCTTTGACCCGCGTCACGCCGCCGCCCCTGTCAAAGTGTATAGAAAAATTTGACAGCCCGACATTTCTCCGCTACGCTCCGCATTGGTGGAAATCGGGCCTAACGAAGGGTTTAGTAACTTGCTAGCGATTTTTTCTGCTATTAGCCATATGATCTCTGATTTTAATTCAAAGCTTTATTAAATGTTACGTAACGTAACGTTACGTGTAATGTAAGCTTTATTAATGTTTATCAAAGGTTAATACTGGGACGTGTAAAAGTGCTTTTTTTAAGCCTATTTACAGAAATAAATGAGTTTTTTAATGAGTTTTTTTTTAAATCTGAGATAGATGCCCAACAACTAAGCTAAAACCGAGTACAAAACTAAAATCGTTTGTTGTATTAAACATATTTCTAACTTTAACTGTGACAAACGTCAAAAATCTGTCAAACTCCATAAAAAATACACCCGTTATCGTAATAGTTACCGTTAAATTTGGGTGGTGCAACTCAGCCTAAATGTTTCAGATAGGCGACATGTACTTCAAGCTGTCGGGCGACAACCGAATCACCGCCTTGGCCGAGTTGGCCACGGCGGCGCTGCGCATGACCAAACTGGACAGCTTCCTGCCTCCAGCTGTGACTACCCTCTTTAGCGGACGGGATGTGGACTTCAGCTATTTCAATGTCACTTTGTAAGTAATAACATGGTAATAATGAGTGGAGAACAGGGGATCGGACATTGCCAATGTTCCTTAAGAGCGCTTTCACATTAGGGCGTTAGAAGCGCGACAGCAGCGCGGCAGCGTTGTTTTTATAATGTGAAGGCAAGCATCCACTGTCACATAGTATTAAAATTTTTGGCAGCGCGTCTGTTGCGCGTTTGTCGCGCTGCTAAATCGCCTAAATGTGAAAGCGGTCTAAATTTTAACTCATAAATGAAGTTTGTAAAAACTGCCTCATTTTCATCTTGTTGCTGGGCCATTCTTAAATTTGTGCCAATTTTTTTTTTTAAATTAAANTGGGGACACTGGTTCTCGTTGTAGTTACGCGCGACTTCATATCTATTCTCTTTCTATGATCTGAGATCGTGTTCGTGTACTTTGGCTTTTACACCTTCCAATGGAGCTTGCTCTACCATGATTGTAACTACTGATTATATTATTTTTTGTCGCAAAATAATTCTTAAAAAGGGTTTGCATGGAGAAAGTCCTATCAATTTAAAAAAAGCTAAAATCCTCCAAAAATACGCGGGTGAACCCGCGGGCAGATGCTAGTTAGAGATCTACGACATGGCACAATTTCCTTGACTAGGGCGATCTTTTAACATCGTTGGAACAATAATAATATGTCTCTTCCTTACTTATTTATATTAGGGTAACAATGAATTTTGATACACAGACAAATAATCACAGAAAAAATAGGACAGAAATCAGCAAATTTTTCCTTCACTCTAATTTGCTGATTCGCGAAACCAAATATTTAGCACTTCACTCTTATCAAATTCGTAGAAAATCTTATTTAAAAACCTTTTCTAGAAAACGGTCTCCGAGTGGAGAGCTTGTTTGCCAACCCAGCGCGCGTGCGGCGGCGCGTTGCGGCTCTTTTGGACGTATCAGATGAGCTGGCCGCTGACGTCATGACCGCGCAGCTTAGTTTTAAGGGGGTAAGTCTTTGTATAAATGGCTTGAAGCTCTTGGTTTGCAAGAGACACTGACAGAAAGTGATGAACTGCCCATTGTTTATCTACTATATAAAAATAAGTCGGGTTTTCCTTCCTGACGCTATAGCTCCAGAACGCACGAACCGATTTCCACGGTTTTGCATTCGTTGGAAAGGTCTCGGGCCCCGTGAGGTTTATAGCCGCGCGATAAAGCTTTTCTGTGACAGACAAAATTGAACGCGGGCGAAGCCGCGGGCCGAAAGCTAGTAAAATAATAATTTTACGCATGAAGATGAATCTTGCCGAGACATTGCCAGGGATTGAATGTCGAGTATTGAATTTTTATATAAAAACAAAATGAATGAAACAAAACAAATCCACTTAGCGAGCACTTTTTCAAAGAATAGTAAGCCTAACAGGTGACACCCGGATTTGAACCGGGGACCTCTCGATCTGCAGTCGAATGCTCTACCACTGACCTAATTATCCCCTTGAACGGTCTCGGCGAAATCAGTGATTTCTTTAGATTCTGTGTGATTCACGTTTTTCTAAAAAATTAACATAAGACGCGCAAAAATTTAAAAATAATTTCCTGGTATCTTATTCGCTAAGCACTGAGAACTAAGTGCTATTTTAAAAATAAATAATAGCTTGGAGTGTGCTTATTTAAGGGGTTGGAATTTAGCGTTATTTTCTCACGTACGATATATTTCAAGTAAAATCGAGTACCTATACAACATTTTTGTTTCAGATATTCAAAGGCAATATAAACAGATGTAACGCAGACTCCATAGGAGAGCTAATCAAGATGGAAGATAAGGAGAATTTACAGGTGTTCGTGAGGAAACTGTGCAGCATGACCGACAAGGACCTGCAGAGGATGGCCATGGACTTGATATTTGAAATCAACTTCGGAAAGTATCTTAGAATGGTGAGTTTGGTCTAATGTAACTTTATGACTTTTGACCTGTTAATAAGGCCCGGTTTCCACATATTTGGTGTTACAATAACCAATCAGATTCGATTATTACCTCCGGTCCACACAGTTTTGATCCGCGTCACGACGCCGCCCCTGTCAAAGTCTATAGAAAAATTTGACAGCCCGACATTTCTCCGCTACGTTCCGCATTGGTGGAAATCGGGCCTATCGAAGGGTTTAGTAACTTGCTAGCGATTTTTTCTGCGATTAGCCATATGATCTCTGATTTAAATTTTAAAGCTTTATTAAAATCTGAGATAGATGCCCAAAAACTAAGCTAAAACCGAGTACAAAACTAAAATCGTTTGTTGTATGAAACATATTTCTAACTTTAACTGTGACAAACGTCAAAAATCTGTCAAACTCCATAAAAAATACACCCGTTATAGTAATAGTTACCGTTAAATTTGGGTGGTGCAACTCAGCCTAAATGTTTCAGATAGGCGACATGTACTTCAAGCTATCGGGCGACAACCGAATCACCGCCTTAGCCGAGTTGGCCACGGCAGCGCTGCGCATGACCAAACTGGACAGCTTCCTGCCTCCCGCGGTGACTACCCTCTTTAGCGGACGGGAGGTGGACTTCAGCTATTTTAACGTCACTCTGTAAGTATAAGATGGTAATAACGAATGGAAGAATAAGGGATCGGACATTGCCGATATTCTTTATTTGCATAGACTATTTAAATTGTTCTTACATCTTTAAAGTAACTCAACACGTTTGTAAAGTATGTGTGAAAACCTGCCTCATTTTTATCTCTTTGCTATTCGATTTTTATTTGATTTGCAGATATCCTTCGAACAGTTAACTTTGTAAAAAGCAGGATTCTTCCTTGTGGAAATCCTCAGGGGAGGCCTACGTCTAGCTTTAGACGTCTTTTGGTTTTTAAGAATACATAAAATTAACATAATTCACTTTGTGATGTGTTTTTGAGTTTTAACATTAGGGCCTTGCCACACTGGCGGATTGCAAGTGTTTTCTGGGCGGAGACGGCGAGGCATTTTGCATGCTTTTGGCGACCGCGCCGTTCCACCAGTGTGGCAAGGCCCTTAATGTCAGTTACCATTTGTGTTTTATGCTACGTGATACTAATTTTTCATATTTTTTCAGAATATCAAAGCTAATGAAAGAACTCCAGCCTACATTCTCAGGCACCAAAGCCTTCGGCATCCTCAAAGACGCCTCTGACATGATAACCATGGCTTTGGAATACTTGGACAAGCTGGTTGTGGCAAAGTCTGCCAACCCCGTGAGAGATACTGCCGGCCTTATAATAAACCAAGTTGGCAAAACGAACGCCAGTGACTTGAGTGCCATATCAAAAGCATTTAATGAAGCAGTTGAACTGATTGAATCTAATGAAAATTCTATAAATATATTTAAGATGTAAGTATCGCAATTAAAACTTAAATTACTAACAATAATTAATAGTTCTCTTATGTCTTTTTAGTATCTAATACAGGTTTCAATTTATTTCACATAACTAATGCACCAACTGAACACTTTGATAGTTGACACCTAAAATTGCTATTACTCGTAAAACAACTGTGGGACGATTTGGTTTTGATAGCTTTGAATTAATGTAGGTATGTCAATTGGTAACACCACCTATAAAATTGACCAATGCCCGTTTTAACCATCAATCCCTAATTTGTAAGTGACCCCTTTGAAAAAAAATTCCTGTTATGTGTTACCATAGGGGTCACTTAAAAATTAGGGATTTATGGTGAAAACGGGCATAATTTCTCTATCGCAGGTTAATATGCTTCTTTATAATTTATCAAAAAAACAAGAACGTTATAATTAAGACCATAAAAATTGCCTCATTTTCAGTTTAGCCCAAGTAATGAATTTCGTAAACAAATTCTTGCCAGAGGCCACAAGGCACGAGGTGTTATTCTACGCCACGCTGCTGGCCAAACTCGTGGAGGGGGCCACACAGGTCGTCAGCGTCAACCTCAACATACAGGAGGTGGCCTATGACGTCAGCACGAGGCACCCGGAGGGGGTCCAAGTGTTGATGGCCCTCCCGCTGCCCATAGTGAGGAAAGGATTCGAGGGCCTGGCTGATGCTGAAAGAGTGCAGGTAATTGTGACGTATTTTCTAGTCAACATACAAAAGGTGGCCTATAACGTCAGCCGGAGACCTGTGGGGGTCCAAGTGTTGTTGGAACTCCCACTGCCCATAGTGAGGAAAGAATTCGAGGGATTAGCTGATGCTGAGGGGGTGCAGGTAATTAAGTATATTGTAGTCAGCATGAACCCGGGTCAGGGGGCCTATGACGTCAGCAGGAGGCACCCGGAAGGGTCCAAGTGTTGGTGGGTCTCCCACTGCCGCTCGTGAGGAAAGGATTCGAGGGCCTGGCCGATGCTGAAAGGGTGCAGGTAATTATGACGTATATTATAGTCAACATCCACCTTAGATACGCCACGCTGCTGGCTAAGCTGGTCGAGGGCGCCACACAGGTCGTCAGCGTCAACCTCAACATACAGGAGGTGGCCTATGACGTCAGCAGAAGGCACCCGAAGGGAGTGCAGATATTATTGGGCCTCCCACTTCCACTAGTGAGGAAAGGCTTCGAGGGCCTGGCTGATGCTGAAAGAGTGCAGGTAATTGTGACGTATATTGTAGTCAACATTAAGGAAGTGGCCTATGACGTCAGCCAGAGGCACCCCGAGGGGGTCCAAGTGTTGTTGGGTCTCCCACTGCAACTTGTAAGGAAAGGCTTCGAAGACTTAGTTGATGCGGAGAGAGTGCAGGTAAATATGACGTATATTATAGTCAGCATGAACGTCACACACAGGAGAGAGCCTATGACGTCAGCCGGAGGCACCCGGGGGGAGTCCCAAGTGTTGTCGAGTCTCCCGCTACCGCTCGTAAGGAAAAGATTCGAGGGCTTGGCCGATGCGGAAAAGGTGCAGGTAATTGTGACGTATATTATAGTCAGCATCCACCTAAGATACGCCACGCTGCAGGCCAAACTCGTGGAGGGAGCCACACAGGTCGTCAACGTCAACCTCAACATACAGGAGGTGGCCTATGACGTCAGCAGAAGGCACCCGAAGGGAGTGCAGATATTATTGGGCCTCCCACTTCCACTAGTGAGGAAAGGCTTCGAGGGCCTGGCTGATGCTGAAAGAGTGCAGGTAATTGTGACGTATTTTCTAGTCAACATACAAAAGGTGGCCTATAACGTCAGCCGGAGACCTGTGGGGGTCCAAGTGTTGTTGGAACTCCCACTGCCCATAGTGAGGAAAGAATTCGAGGGATTAGCTGATGCTGAGAGGGTGCAGGTAATTAAGTATATTGTAGTCAACATACAGGAGGTGGCCTATGACGTCAGCACGAGGCACCCGGAGGGGGTCCAAGTGTTGTTGGGTCTCCCACTGCAACTTGTGAGGAAAGGCTTCGAAGACCTAGTTGATGCGGAAAGAGTGCAGGTAAATATGACGTATATTATAGTCAGCATGAACGTCACACACAGGAGAGAGCCTATGACGTCAGCCGGAGGCACCCGGGGGGAGTCCAAGTGTTGTCGAGTCTCCCGCTACCGCTCGTGAGGAAAGGCTTCGAGGGCCTGGCCGATGCGGAAAGGGTGCAGGTAATTGTGACCTATATTATAGTCAACATCCACCTTAGATACGCCACGCTGCTGGCCAAGCTGGTCGAGGGCGCGTATTATTGGGCCTCCCACTGCCCATAGTGAGGAAAGGATTCGAGTTCCTGGCTGATATTGAGATGAAGGTAATTTAGACTGTACATTAGATTGCGAAATAAATACAGCGGTTAGTTAACAAAGTTACCTAAATAAGAAACCTCGACCATCAATCTTGCAAAACAGTATGCTGACTTTTTATTGAAAACCCTATGTTTATTTTAAAGTTAAATCACAAGTCTGCATCAAAAAGCTCCGCTAGTGTAGTGGTAGAAATTAATCGTTATTGAATTTATTTGTTTTTCTTTCAGCTAATGACGTCGAAGCTGAACGTCCGCGGACAAGTTTTCTGTGACGTCAACAAACTGGCGGGGTTCTTCGCTGTATCCAAAGACGAAGCGGTTACTCTGAAGAAACAGCTGTGCACAGATGCCTGGAAAAACTACATGGGAGACTTCATACAGTCCTTCGGGATATACGACGTTAAGGATATCGTGAGTTGTTATTAGTTTTTACTGAAGTAAGTATTTCCACATCGCCCGTTTGGTAGCGGCCTGCATCCAGCGCCTTCCTGCTACCTTTATGAGGCCGTCGGTTTACCTNCGTAAGAATAAGAATGGCCCTGCTACTCGCTGTTTATCAATTTCGGAATATCATTTCTCCTTGTGGAAATTCTTTAGAGAAGGCCTACGTCCAGCTTTAGACGTCTTTTGGTTGTTAAAAATTTATATTTTTTTAAACACAATTATGTTAATTTTATGGATTTTATTCTCTATTTTAAATAATTAAAACGTGATTTTTTATTCTAAATAGATTTTGTTTAAAAAAAATATACTACACGCTAATTTTTATATTTTTTCAGAATATCAAAGCTAATGGACCAACTCCAGCCTACTTTCTCAGGCACCAAAGCCTTCGCCATCCTCAAAGACGCCTCTGACATGATAACCATGGCTTTGGAATACTTGGACAAGCTGGTTGTGGCCAAGTCTGCCAACCCCGTAAGAGATACAGCCGGCCTTATAATAAACCAAGTCGGCAAAACGAACGCCAGTGACTTGAGTGCCATATCAAAAGCATTTAATGAAGCCGTTGAACTGATTGAATCTAATGAAAATTCTATAAATATATTTAAGATGTAAGTATCGCAACGAACATTTAAATTACTAGCAATATAGTTCTCTAAGGCTGGGTTGCACGTGCAAACGCATTCCATACAATAAGCATTGGTTATCGTCATACGGTCAAAGTTAGGTAGTACAACTCAGCCTAAAATATAAATAATTATGTAATACAAGTTTCAATTCATTTCATATTACTAATGCACCAACTGAACACTTGGATAGTTGACACCTAAAATTGCTATTACTCGTAAAATAACTGTGGGACAATTTGGTTTTGATAGCTTTGAAATTATGAATGTCAATTTTATAGATGGTGTGGTTACACCACCTATAAAATTGACTAATGCCCGTTTTAACCATCAATCCCTAATTTGTAAGTGACCCCTTTGAAAACAAATTTCCTGTTATGTGTTACCATAGGGGTCACTTAAAAATTAGGGATTGATGGTGAAAACGGGCATAATTTCTCTTCGTTTTAGCCAAATGATGTCCACTGCTGGACAAAGGCCTCCTCCAAGGTTTTCCACAATGCACGGTCCTGCGCTGCCCGCATCCAGGCTCTTCCCGCGACCTTTACCAGATCGTCGGTCCACCTAGTAGGAGGCCTGCCCACGCTACGTCATCCAGCCCGTGGTCGCTACTCGAGAACTTTTCTGCCCCATAATTTCCCCATTCATAATTTTTCTATCGCAGACTAATATTCGTTATAATATATCAAAATAACAAGAACGTTATAATTAAGACCATAAAAATTGCCTCATTTTCAGTTTAGCCCAAGTAATGAATTTCGTAAACAAATTCTTGCCAGAGGCCACAAGGCACGAGGTGTTATTCTACGCCACGCTGCTGGCCAAACTCGTGGAGGGGGCCACACAGGTCGTCAGTGTCAACCTCAACATACAGGAGGTGGCCTATGACGTCAGCACGAGGCACCCGGAAGGCGTGCGGATATTATTGGGCCTCCCGCTGCCCGTAGTGAGGAAAGGCTTCGAGGGCCTAGCTGATGCGGAGAGAGTGCAGGTAAATATGACGTATATTATAGTCAGCATGAACGTCACACACAGGAGAGAGCCTATGACGTCAGCCGGAGGCACCCGGGGGGAGTCCAAGTGTTGTCGAGTCTCCCGCTACCGCTCGTAAGGAAAAGATTCGAGGGCCTGGCCGATGCGGAAAAGGTGCAGGTAATTGTGACGTATATTATAGTCAGCATCCACCTAAGATACGCCACGCTGCTGGCCAAACTCGTGGAGGGGGCCACACAGGTCGTCAGCGTCAACCTCAACATACAGGAGGTGGCCTATGACGTCAGCACGAGGCACCCGGAGGGGGTCCAAGTGTTGATGGCCCTCCCGCTGCCCATAGTGAGGAAAGGATTCGAGGGCCTGGCTGATGCGGAAAGAGTGCAGGTAGTTATGACGTATATTATAGTCAGCATGAACGTCACATGCAGGAGAGGTCCTATGACGTCAGCCGGAGGCACTCTGAGGGGGTCCAACTGTTATTGGCTCTCTCTCTCTGCCCGTATTGAGGAAAGGATTCGAGAGGCTGGCTGACGCTGAGAGGGTATATTTTACTGTACAACATTCGATTGCGAAGTAAATACAGCGGTTAGTTAGCTGGTTTCTAAAGATCCAACCCAAAGTTACCGGAAATAAGAAACCTCGACCATCAATCTTGCATAAAAGTATGCTGATATCTTATAGAAAACCCTTTATTTTAAAGTTAAATCACAAGTCTGTGTCAAAAAACTCCGCTAGTGTAGTAGTAGAAATTAATCGTTATTGAATATAATTGTTTTATTCTCTTTCAGCTAATGACGTCAAAGCTGAACGTCCGTGGACAAGTTTTCTGTGACGTCAACAAACTGGCGGGGTTCTTCGCTGTATCCAAAGACGAAGCGGCCGCGCTGAAGAAACAGCTGTGCACAGATGCCTGGAAAAACTACATGGGAGACTTCATACAGTCCTTCGGGATATACGATGTTAAAGATATCGTGAGTGTTGCTTGTATTATTATTAATCTTTACTTAAGGATTTCCACATCGCCCGGTTTATAGAGGCCTGCATCCAACGCCTTCCTGCTACCTTTATGAGGCCGTCGGTTTACCTTGTGGGTGGACATCCCACGCTGCGTTTTCCTTTGTGGGCGTCCTATGGCTAAAATGATAATGATGATGAAATGAAGGATTTGGTCGACACTCCCAATGCTGGCCAGATGGGTTCGGAAGGCCTGAGGTCCGCATATGTGCCTCTTAAACGCTTTTTATTACATCCATGAGAAGAGAGTGGATGATCCTATTTTATTCTGCTGTGACCATATTATGTTACGGCATTTTAACCAATTTCAAAAAAGCAGCAGGTTCTCAATATGGTCGGTTACAATCTTCAAAAGTCATGGTAGAAATTCAACACGTTATACATTAATAAATATAAATTATACCACATAGCAAACGCTTTGCCAGTCCCAAATGTGTGTTTATAGGAAGTCATCATCATTATCAAATAATGAAATGTTATGCACTCATGTGGCAGGCAATCATTAGGCACTAAAGACAACCTTCACCGCGTGTTATTTGCAGTTTGCAGAATCATTTATATGAATTTGCACTCTATTCATATGTTATTTATTTACACGCGGCCAAAAATACTTCAATGTGTCGATCACGTTTTTTGCACTGCTCGATGCAAAACAAGTTTTTGTAGCATGTTAAGTATGTGTTGCAACTGCATAATTTGAACCTTAGTTACCTATGTGAAGTACCTATTATTTACTTGTTTTCATTGTAAATTAAAATCCCACCAAAAACATTCTGTAAAAAACTAGCCAAGTCTCGATGGAGCTGACTGTTTATCTCTAAAAAGTAATGAAATCTAGACAAAGTCGTGCCAAGTCTATGGTTCCTTACTGCGATTTCTTTATTATAGTATATTGTTAATGTTGTGTGACTTGGCCGTTGAAGGGTACAAAACCAGATGCACCATGACACCATTTACACCAATCTGTCGCCAGAACCGCTACCAATTGACGATGGAAAATAAATTGCACTTGGAAAACGTTGATTCAATAATCAGTCAATTGTAGACTTAATAAAGCTGCGTATTTCAATAATACTTATGTATGATTATCTTAATAAACATTGTTCAACGGCCAAGTCACACAACATTAACAATATACTATAATAAAGAAATCGCAGTAAGGAACCATAGACTTGGCACGACTTTGTCTAGATTTCATTACTTTTTAGAGATAAACAGTCAGCTCCATCGAGACTTGGCTAGTTTTTTACAGAATGTTTTTGGTGGGATTTCACTTCTTTTTGTAGAAAGTGGCATAATTATTTTTACGTCGTCTTCTTTTCTTTTAATATTATCGACATTTTTTTTACGATATTAAACACAAATAAACTCAACGATCTTTAAAATGGACAACGAATCAGAAATTGTTTTAATAACTTAACTTTAGCGAACCTCACGATATAAAAGTCGTGGGGTACTTGTTAAAGAAAGACGTGTTTACATCGCACTCCGTGAATACTGAACTTAAATATGGGTTAAAATGACTGTTTCCTGTGAAATTAACGTTAAAAGTGTTCCCTATAAAATTACCTATCGAATGGTGTATAAATCATAGCCGAACTTTCGTCATAAGTGGTGCAAAATAAGCAAAAACTGTGTTGACATTTCGTTGTGAAATAGTGATTCGCTCGGGCGTGTTGTGCGGCGGACCGGCTGAGTCATTCTACGTACCCGACGACTCTCACGCAAGTGTGAGGCATCGCTATTAAAGTTTCGTACGCTTACGTAACAGCTCCGTGGCCCAGCGGCTCAGAGCGGTCAGCCGCGTACTGCGATCGACATTTGGCCGTGACTTCAAATCCAGCGACCATCAGAATTTTTGTTTTCTGGTCTTGGAATTTTCGAGTGCATCAATAATAAAATCATACAAAATGAACTGCTTGGCGTGCAAAAGCAAAGTCAGACCCGAGGAAATGTTAAGATGTGGGCCATGCTGTGGAGTTTATCACTACAAATGCCTAAACATACCTACAACCGTCTACACAAATAAGATAAAGGAGTTGAAAAAATCTTGGTTGTGTCCGAACTGTAGCGGTGCATCCCGGCGCGTCAAAACGGATGATACTCCAGTAAAGCAAAATGAACAACTTATCATGGATTACACAAACATGTCCTGCGACGACTTGACTGTTTCTCCTGACGAACTGAGTAAGCAGAAATCTTCTAGATACAGCAAGACTGATCACGCCTCGCCGGCTGGACAGTCAATAACTTATGAAATGTTCAGTCAACTACTTGATTCTAAATTGACAGAAATGAAGTCTACAATAACAACTGAACTAAAAAATATGATAAGAATGGAAATAAATTCTACACTCGAGAAAATAAAGACAGAGTTCACGGAAACCACAGATTTTTTGGACAATAAACAAAACAAAATGAACAAGGAATTAGATGCTGCTAATCTAGCCATAAACTCGCTCGAGGCAGACAAAATTAAACTACAGACAGAGTTAACTGACTTAAAACAGAGAGTTAACACATTGGAGAAAGCGTCCCGCTGCTGCAATTTGGAAATTCAATGTGTGCCCGAAAAACGCAATGAAAACCTACTGCTGATACTTCATAAGATCTGCGATACACTAAAAGTATCCAACGCTGAAACACAAATACGAACTATCCGAAGAGTTGCAAAGCTAAATCCTGAATCGAAACGACCACGCAACATCCTGGTTACGTTGATGTCCGAGCGCCAGCGTGATGTTCTTATTTCGGCCTTCAAGAATTATAATAGAGAAAACCGTGGCAACCCTTTAAATTCCACACACATTGGTATCGTCGGGGACAGACAGAACATCTATCTAGCGGAACATTTATCTAAAGAATGCAAAGAACTACATGCCTGGACAAGAAAAGTAGCCAAAGAGCACTCATACAAATACGTATGGGTAAAATACAACCGGGTATACTGCAGAAAAGACGACAACTCTCAAGCAATACTAATCAAAGATCGCAACTGCTTAGATAATTTGAAGTGATTTATTTATTTGTTTTTCTCTTTTAACGCATAATGATTGTATTCAACCCGATCTCACATTTTTATAATGCATGTGTTCTATCAAAATGTAAATAGAATCCTATCTAAAACTAACGAATTCTTTTTGAGCTGTCTGAATGTGAATTATGATATTATTTGTTTAACTGAGACAAACCTTAACCACTCAGTATTTAACAATGAACTATTTGACAATAGATACAATGTCTTCAGACGAGACCGCGAAGATAGTAGTATCAATAAACTGAGTGGGGGGGGTGTGCTCGTGGCTGTTAAGAATGAGTATAGCGTCGTTAGGCAGACGTCATGGGAAAGCGAGGTAGAGGACATCTGGATAAGTATTCTGCCTACTAGTAAATCACGTCCAACCCTTAATGTGTGCATCTGCTACCTGCCTCCAGACATACCCTACACATCTCTAGTCTCATTTTATAATAACACACAAAAGAACATTTTGAATGGGAACGACAATGACGTCTATGTCATAGTTGGTGATTTCAACACTCCCAGCGTAGCATGGTCGCGATCAGGCTCAACTAATCAAAATTTCGCGCTACCCCCTGCGGTAGACCCAAAATCATCCTTGCTCCTTGACACCTTGTCACTCTGTGACCTGTGGCAGCATAATTTCATACCTAATGAAAATAATCGACTCTTAGATCTCATCCTAACATCGTCATGCCTCACCGTGAGTGTCACAACGGCTGACCCACTTTCCAAGATTGACAGGCATCACCCGGCACTTTGTTTCGAGGTACTGAGCCTTAGTGAAGGATACGAGATTAAACGTAACTGCAAAACTAAACGACTACAGTTCAATAAATGTGATTACAATAGCATAAAAAAAGAACTACGCAATATAGATTGGCCGACAGTACTATCAGACGCTGATATTAACATAGCCACTACTAATTTTTACTCTGAACTGAATCAAATTATTGAAAAATACACCCCCACTGCTAGCAATAGGCATAAACATTTTCCACTTTGGTTTACACCATCTTTGATCAAATGTTTGCATGAAAAAAACAAAGTACATAGGAAGTTTAAAACATTTAAAAACCCTCGCGATTATGATGAGTTCAGGTTACTCCGTTCTCGATGCAAGGTTCTAATGAGGAATTGTTATAATTCATACATATCGCTCACAGAAGAAGGCCTCAAGTCAGACATAAAACACTTTTGGAGATACATTAATTCTAAGAAGGGCAACGGCTCTGGTATACCACAGAAAATGACACTAGGAAACAAGAGTGCCTCGAACGCCAGGGGTATATGTGAACTATTCTCAGAATTTTTCAGCTCGGTATTTGAGAAACAAGACGCACCTGAATGTGACGTAACGAGTACAATACGCCCCAAAACGAATAGCTCACTATCAACGATAACCTTAAGACGTCATGAAATACTAGGTAAGCTCAAACACCTGGATCCAAATAAGGGCGCTGGTCCAGACGGTATCCCACCAAGGTTCCTCAGAGAATGTGCTGACGAGCTAAGCCTCCCACTTCTGCTTCTATACAACAAATCCTTAGTAACTGGTTTCCCAGAATACTGGAAATCAGCGCATGTGGTACCAATACACAAATCAGGAGACAAAGACAATATAGAAAATTATAGACCCATTAGTATTTTGTCTGCCATGGCAAAGCTTTTCGAATCAGTTGTCTTTGATCATATTTATAATCAAGTAAAACCTTATATCTCTGATTCACAACACGGCTTCATTCAGCAACGGTCAACAGTTAGTAATTTACTTGAATATTCCACTTTTATATCTGGCGTTCTGGACCGTGGAGGTCAGGTGGATGCAGTTTACACGGACTTCAAAAAAGCATTCGACAAGGTTAATCACATAATATTGGTGACGAAGTTGTCGGCGTATGGCTTCCATGGAGANATCGTACTCCATCCCGCATATTTCATTATTTACCGCGTTATGAACAGTCACTGCGTACTGTCATAATTAATTCTACGCTCATTTCAAATAGATACCCAGCAGTGGTACGGCCCGCTCATTTTGCCAAACTCAACGCTCGCTTGGTCTCTAAGTACCTACCTCCGCGCCCAGCTGCACGCTGCAGTTTCGTGGCTCATTCCGCTCCTCATTTACTTTAACCGCGTCCTTATATACATTTATTTAAAATGCCAAAGGCTAAAGAAGATGCCTCAGTCAGTGAGACTGCCAGAGATTCTCTAGCTATGGACATTCAATTGGCATTATCATGTCGC